GTACTAGCAGACGCGGTGTCTGATGAGAGACCAGGGTACTAGCAGACTCGAGGTCTGATGAGAGACCAGGTACTAGCAGATGCAGTGTCTAATGAGAGCCCAGGGTACTATCAGACTCGGTGTCTGGTGAGAGACCAGGGTACTATCAGACTCGGTGTCTGATGAGAGACCAGGGTACTAGCAGACACGGTGTCTGAGGAGAGACCAGGGTACTAGCGGACTCAGTGTCTGATGAGAGACCAGGGTACTAGCAGACACAGTGTCTGAGGAGAGACCAGGGTACTAGCGGACTCGGTGTCTGATGAGAGACCAGGGTACTAGCAGACTCGGTGTCTGAGGAGAGACCAGGGTACTAGCAGGTTTGGTGTCTGATGAGAGACCAGGGTGCTAGCAGGTTCGGTGTCTGATGAGAGACCAGGGTGCTAGCAGGTTCGGTGTCTGATGAGAGACCAGGGTACTAGCAGGTTCGGCGTCTGATGAGAGACCAGGGTACTAGGAGGTTCGGTGTCTGATGAGAGACCAGGGTGCTAGCTGACTCGGTGTCTGATGAGAGACCAGGGTACTAGCAGGTTCGGTATCTGATGAGAGCCCAGGGTACTAGCAGGTTCGGTGTCTGATGAGAGACCAGGGTGCTAGCTGACTCGGTGTCTGATGAGAGACCAGGGTACTAGCAGGTTCGGTGTCTGATGAGAGCCCAGGGTACTAGCAGATGCGGTGTCTGATGAGAGACCAGGGTACTAGCAGACGGCTGTCTGATGAGAGCCCTTTTGCTGTTTCAAACAGCTACTTTCTTGGCTGTATCCTCACATGAAAAGGAGCATAGAGATCCTCCCTCTCCTATCTGTTTTTACAAGGGCACTAATCCCATTCATGAGGGCTCCACCCTCGTGACCTAATTTCTTCTGAAAGTCCCCACTCCCAAATACCGTCACACTGGGGATTTAGGCTTCAACATATGAATTTGGGGAGATACACACATTGAGTGCATAGTAGTGTCCTAAAGCACTCTACACATGACAATCCATATATGTTCTCATGTGGAGAGAAAAGAAAAACTGTTCATTAACTCTTAACTCATTTGCTTCTAGAAGCCGTTTGGTATAGTGATAATAGTTCCTAGATAGGAATTAGGAAACCTAAGTTCTTGACCTGCTTCTATCATTAGTTGGCTGCATAGTCTAGACCTAGGGCAATCACTTAACCTCTCTGAATCTTATTAGTTCTTTCATCTGTGAAATGGAGAAGGTAAAACCAGTCAAAAGACCAAAGTAGAATGGCATATGTAAGGTATTGTATAAAATAAAGACTGCTCTGCAAATGCACAGAATCTTACCTGTGTGTAAATTGCATCACCCAGGGAGCCTGCCTGGCTAAGTTTTCATTGGAAGGCACAGATGGGTTGGGAGGGAGCAGAGAGCCTGTGCAGTTGCTTCTGTTCTTTAAGAAGAATGTCAGCTTTCAAGACCCCATCTGCTCCTACATCAGAAGAGAAGAAATTCTGAGCGAGGTTTTGAGGCATCCCGGAAATAGAACTCCAGCAGAAAGAACAGGATGAAAGCTAATGGGAAGTTAGAACAACTAAGTCATGGGAAAATATGTGCATAGTTAGCAGCAATTAACTACCAAATGACCTTGGGCCCAACACTAGTAAAAGAGAAAAAAAAAATAGAAGCACCTGAACATTCCATATCTTTAGCTCTAACTGTTGTTGTTAGCAGATTTCTACGCTGGTCTCCTGTATCACTGAGAACTGTCGATGTAGGAAAGACATTAGGGTTCGAAGCCATCAGTCAAGAAAGAATTCTTGAGACGTCTTTGGTGCAGAAAGGTGGTTTTTCTAAAGCATGGGGACAGGACCTGTGGGTAGAAAGAGCTGCATTGGTGTCAAGAGGAGTAGCCCATTATATACTTTCAAGTTGGGAGGGAGTTAGGGCTAGTGAAAGCCTCCCAGGTATTTTGGAAACAAGGTTCCAGGATCCTAGGGGGCCAGCTATTGTTAGGGAAAGGTTATTTATTACTGTTTAGTAAAAACTCAGTCATGAGACTCTTCAGATGTATATCGGTGGGTGGCTTAAAAGATAATTGCCAACCTGTATCTTGGGGGGTAGAAATAAAGGAAGTTTCCTAAAGAATTTTTATGTTAAAGTAGACTTACAGGATCCTGGGGGTCTGGCCTAAGATTGCCTTTTGCCCTTAGCAAAGTAGTAACATCGAGGCAGCTGATTTCCTAGAGGAATGTCACTCTGCCTTTTTCAAGGACTTGTCAATGGGCTGTAGTTAATAAGGAAATTTAATTTTTCTTCTGCCTTTGTTTCCCACATCACTGTGACATTGCGACTTTCTTAATTTTAAGGCTATTCAGACACAGTGTCATGTCTTAAGGTTTTTCTTGCCTGTGGTCCTAATCATCTTTGTTTTTGTTTTTGTTTTTACAACCAACTTTTATTTATTTCTATTTCAAGAAAGGCCTTGTTTTTCCCACTTACCTAGCATAGTCTCAGGCTGCTTTCCTCAAAAGATTAACTGGTGTTTGTAAAATATTTTTATAACTTAATGTAATTGAATTGCACTTGAAACGTGCAATGCCCTATGCTGGTCAAATCATGATAATGATCATCATCATCATTATCATCGTCCCTCTTTAAAAATCTTGATGATTTATAAAATGAGATTTCAATTTATTCTTCCCTCCACTACCCTACTGTCAACAAAGTTGTAATCTTTTCATTAGCCTATATGTATCCTTGAAAGAATTTACAAAATCCCTAAGGTTAGAGGGATATGTGTGTTAATTTTTTAGGGACGATGATTCCATTTCACCATTTAAAACATTCTTTATAATAGTAACATATTTATTGCAGAAAATCCAAGTAGAAAAGATAGAAAAACAATTCCTTTACTTAGAAGCTTTATTGTTAATATTTTTTCATTCTTTTTTCTCTATATGTCTTATTTTATATACTTATGCTCACACTGTATATAAACTGTTTTAATCCATCTTTTTCTTGTTGACATTGTTCTAAGCATTTTCTCTCATCATTAAAAACCCTAAATTCCTGTGTAATGGTTACACAAATCCATCACATAGATACACCACCATTTTCATTATATTCTCCTAAAGTCCGATGCTTAAATTGCTTCTGGTATTTAGACATTTTTGCCAAGTTGTTAGGTGAATAATACCTCTGTCAAAGTTTGTATTTCTTTAATTACTAGTAATATTACATTTAAAGATTTTTCAGATGTTCGCCATTTTTTTTTCTTTTTCATGTAACCACCACCCGTCAAGATGTAAAACATTTCCCCCAAAAAAGTTCCCCCTTACCTATTTTCATCAATCATTAATCCCTTCCTCCCACCCCAGGCTCTAAGTAACCACAGATGCTTCCCGCTTCCTGTCAGCATAGATAGATAGATAGATAGATAGATAGATAGATAGATAGATAGATAGATAGATAGAAAGATACATATGTGAGTTTTATATAAATGAAATCATACAGTATATGTGTTCTTTGGAGTCTGGATTATTTTGCTCAGCACATCTTTGAGATCCATCCTCGTTGCTGCCTGAATCAGTATGTTTATTGTTGAGTAAAATGCCATAATGACAGGCATACTAACACTTGTCTATCACCAAATGAGTGATAAAACATTGGGTTGATTCAAGTCTGAAGCTATAGTGAATAAAGCTACTGTGTACTTGGACAGGTCTCTAGGCTGTTAAGCCATGATTTTCTAGAAAAAGATACTTTCTTTTCCTACCTGGGGAAAGAGTTGGGGACTCTAGGTATATCACCCACTATTTTGAGTCAGGCACATTTCCCAAAAGAAAGCCAAACCCTGTTTTGGGATAAAATTAGCAGGATGAGGCAATGGTGCAGGATATAATTTGGAGAGCATCTTGGAAAGCCATCTGGGAAGCACCTGATCACCCTCCTCCTGTAGCAGTCTTAAGCATAAGGCTCCTATTGCTCACTGCTCTGCCCCACTCCACATCTTCTGGCTCCTGACAAGTCTAAGAACACTGCCAAGGCAGTCTCTGTCCCCTCCCATGACAGGAGAGGGTCAGAGGAGAAAATAACGACAGGCATCATGCTGTTTAATGCCAGATCCCCTAAATAGCTCCAGGAGGCAGTAGCAGGGTTAGGCTACCCTGCAGGCCACTTGAACACCTGCCCAAGTGGCCCCTAGGGTATTCTATGTCCTCTTCTCAGCTACATGGGAATTGCGTGCTTAGGGCTCAAGAGAATTCTATGCAGTGATCCGCAGGGCCTACCTTCTGGAAGTAGAATGCAAACTTCTTGAGGGCAAGAATCCTACCTCATACAAATTTTTACGTGTGCAAAGCACATAATGGTTACTCAAATATGGTTCTGGACAATGTACAATCAAAGCCTGAGACATGGACATGGATTCCTGACTCATAAATGCTCAACAGTATTTTTAAAAGTTAAAGTAGGGTCTTTAACAATCAAATGCTTCTAAGAAAATATTTTTCCCTGGAAGTGAAATTAATGACAAAAGGGCAATTGTGGTCTTATGTTTAGTGATACTGTGTATATGTTATTTTGTACAACTATCTTTTGAAATAGACAGAAAAGATAATCATCAAACACCACTCCCTCTCTTCTCTTCCTAAACTCCCTTTGTGGCAAGCTCTGAAAGTCTGAGATTCAAAGAGTGGTTTCCAATAATTAAATTTGGAAAACAGATAAACTTGTGGAGTTATGTTTATTAAAGACAGTATGACAGCAAATGCCACTTGTACAATAGGAATAAGATTTTATAGAGAAAAAGATGGCTTACAGACAGCTTTTCAGGAAATTAGCTCACATAATAAAGGAAAATAGTTCATTAAAGTTAAAGGCCTAAACTTTGTAAACCAAAAGAGTCTTGACTGTTGACCCTTGAATATGCAGGATCTCTTTCCCTAACATGAGTTCTTATCTGTTGTTCGTGGCGGAATGAGGTTTTTATGGCACGTGTTTCTCTCCCCTCAGTTCACTGACATTGGGACCTTCGAGACAGTATGGCAAGTCAAGTTCTACAATTACCACAAGCGAGATCACTGCCAATGGGGAAGCCCGTTCTCTGTCATTGAGTATGAATGCAAGCCCAATGAGACACGCAGCCTCATGTGGGTGAACAAGGAGTCCTTCCTCTGAAGATGGCTCTTTCTGATGTTGCTGGACAATCTCTTCAAAAATCAACTTTCGGATAACCCAGCGCAAGCCTTCACCAAGGCACACGACACCGTTGATGTTTCCCATCGGGTGCCGTTGACCTACTGGCCCCAATTATTTTGAAAGTGTAATTCCCTTCTGATGCCATGTCCCTGACATAAAAAATCGTGATGTACCATCTCTGAGACGATCCTTTGCTGTGTTCTGTGTTGGTGTTCCTGCATCCAGTTGTTCCTGGTCATGCTGTTGACCGCTTCTGAGGAGCTCAGTGGAACTGGCAGACGTATCCCATTTTTAGCCATTCCACTGAATGACTGTGGTGTTTTGTTTCCACATTGAGGGATTCCCCCATTTTTTTGTTGTTGTTAAATGCTAAATAAAAAAAACAACGTGTGTGGGTTCTCTCCCCAGTGTAATATGGTAACATGTAACTTGCAGTGTTAACCAACTCTCAAGGCAGGCTTGGTGAAAATGTAAGACACACAGCAGTGAGTGGGATTCAGATGTTGTGCTTCATATAAACAGCTCAGCTTCTTCAGGGAACAATAATGACAAAATAAAAGGGCAAGTATTTAAGAAGTATATGTAACACATTAAACTCTTTGAAGTAACTTAAGGTATTATGTTGTGGCCTAGTAGAAATGGGAAAAGGCATGGTTGGGGTCCACTGTTAAACAAGGTGACAGAAGTTATAGGGTTACCTTTTTGGCAAGCTGCCGTAGTGTTCAAACATGCATACGATGGCATCCCAAATTCCCCTTCACTTGAACTTTGTAAAACTGTGTATGGAACTGTAATGAACTTTTGATATTTCTTAATAAAGGTATTGAAAATCATGCCCTGGCTTTTCTTCTTCATGTGGGCAATATCTGTCTAGACGGTGGACCTCTGTTCCAGGCCAGCCCCATTCAGATCTCCAGCTACATTGCAGGGTGCGGAGGACATACCTGGAGGAGAATCAGCACAGTTCATCATAGTCAGCTTTGACAGTTGAACAGGAGCACTCCAGTCAGCTCTAACAAGGCTAGCAGAGACTCAGGCACTTGGTGGACAATCAAAAACTGCTTGTCCCTACTTCTCCCCATGCTTCCTCCTGGGACGACCACTCCCATCAGCTGGCTATGGAGCTGAGCAGCTTGAGGACGTGCTATTGTAATAGTGAATGGACACCGGGATGGAGAGCTCCTTGCCTGCTCCCAGGGGACTGCAAGTTATGTGGCACAAATCCCTCATTCCATGCAGTTTGAGGATAAATTCCCTAAGAAGGAAAGACATTTTCTCTGGGAGAGTAGCATACTACCCGCAATGGTGTTGTCGTGTTCCCTTGGGAAGCACAGATCCTTTTGCGTCGGGAGAAGTTAGTTGCGGATTTGCTTTTCTGCTACCTGCAAAGACTTCTTCGTGTGGGTATATGCTAGGTTAGGGGGAGTGTTGTAAAGAGTTTACTGTGGAACCGCATTCACGAGGCCGGCAGGAAACCCGTTGCCCCTGAGTCACTTACCTGTAATGAGGCCATACTGCCAGTAGGGCACAGCAATGCCTTGGATTTGGGCTCATCGTGAGCGGTGTTGAAAAAGAACAGTACGTTTCTCAATTCCTTCGTCTTTCAAAAATAATAGTGTCTCTTAGAACTGCTGCTAAAGAAAATGAAATAATAAAAAAAAGAACTGCTGCTAAAAAATAAGTACGAATCCACTCCCAATGATTGTATTTTAAAAACCAACATTCACTTATCGCAACAGGTATTGACATAAGCAACAGATTTACTACAGACAGAGGCTTAAGTTTTCTTCCAGAATATCCAGTAGAGAGGCAGGCTTATTAGATGGTGGGAAAATATGAAAATTATATATTTTAATCTCTTGAAACCTCTGATTAGTAAATATTTTCATTTGTGAAATGAGGTTTCAAGCTAGTGACTCATCTGTTGGAACTTTAGTATTTGTTTTGAGGGATGGAGGCAATATCACAGCTTCAGCAATTTTCCTTTTTTTTTTTTTTTTAAAGTAGAGGCTCTAGGGGCACCTGGGTGGCTCAGTCATTAAGCATCTGCCTTCGGCTCAGGTCATGATCCCAGGGTCCTGGGATTGAGCCCCACATCGGGCTCCCTGCTCCGCGGGAAGCCTGCTTCTCCCTCTCCCACTCTGCCTGCTTGTGTTCCAGCTCTCACTGTGTCTCTCTCTGTCAAATAACTAAATAAAATCTTAAAAAATTAATAATAAAGTAGAGGCTTTAATTTTTGAGTTTGGACTGACTCAAAGCAGAGCTGGGGAAACGTGGCATGGTGTAACTGCTCGCACCTTCCTCGGAAAGGGTGGGCAGATGAGCCCCGGGCAAGAAGCTGGAGCATCTGAGTCCCGCAAACATGCTGGTTGAGCCTGACAGGTCACCACCTTTGTACGTCTCGGTTTGCTTGCATTTAAAACAAGGAGTTAGGCTAATAGAATTCTAAAGCCCTTTAAGATTTAAGGTTTATACCTCTACTTTACACTCCTTTAAAAAAAAAAAGCATGTGTTTTTTCCTTGGGGCTAAGAGGTAAGGTTGAATCCAAGGAGGTGGAGAGGAGATGGAGCTGAAGTAAACAGGAAATCTTAACAGCTAATCTGCCACGTTAAGTGATCTCTCCTGGCATATACTGTTCTGCTTATGACTGGACTCCAGCCCAGTCTCTCTGGCTGCATCTCGCATAGCTCTCCTCCTCCCCCAAAATGTGAGTGCTCAGCTATACCAAGCTGCCGAGCTGTAACTTTGCCCCTCAGCCAGCCGGAAGGGCTATTTTTATACAAGTTGTAGCCATGTCTGTCTACTTCTAAGCATCAGATGGCTACCCAGAAGCTTGAGGAACTAGGCCATCCTTGTAATTATGATGATGACTAAAAACACTTTTGAACAAGTGAAGAGTAGAAATGCCTTGAATTTATATTTTGTGACACCTCACTTACCGAGAGGTCACTTACCCCGCCATCCAAACTATCTGGATCACAGTTGAGAACAGAAAACATGCCAAAAAATAAAGATCCCTGTCACGGATGTCACAAAGTCCATTCACTAAAGGCTTGGGTCTTCTCTCAAGACCTCACGACTCCTACTTCAGAGACAGTTCTAGCATATAGGGTGATCTGGTTTCTGACTTTTAGAAAATCAGAAGCAGAATAATTGGAGGAAAGAGGGCAATTTCTAAGAGTAGATACACTGCAAATAATCTCTTTTTTTCACAGAGAGGACAAAGAAAAAAAGCAGGTAAAGTACATCAAAAAGTATAATAGATAGGGGCATCCCTACAGTATAGGGCTACAATCCCGGGCTAGACCACAGTAGTTCCTGTGGACATCAAATAAAAATTGATATACGCAATTATCACCCTGATATATTTAGAAAGACGATCCATTATCTTCGGAAATGTAGCATCATGACTCTGTGTTTAAGAGTTCAGATTCTGAAGCCCAGACCGCCCAAGTCAAATCCTGGCTCATCCACATAACAACTATAAGACCTTAATATCGCTTTGCTCCAATTTTCTCATTTAGAAAATGGAGGTAAGAACAGTTTTGCCTTATGGCATCGTTATGAGGATTAAATAAATTATGTAAAAACTTTAGAAGGGTGTCTGACGCATAGCATTATTTTTCTAATCTATTATCCTTTTTTTATTTGAGTATAGTTGACACACAAATGTTACCTTGGTTTCAGATGTACCACTTGGGGATTTGGCAATTTATACATTATGTCCACCACAAGTGTAGCTAAATCTGTCCCATTACATCGCTATTATAGTATCATTGACTGGCACATAGCATTATTCAGTACATTTTGTTTAAAAGACATAAAGGGCAAAATAAATTTTCAAACAAAATCATTAAAAACGTCAAGAGAAAAACTGAAGGTATTTAAGAGATAAAACTCCTTCTTCTAGGATATTCCTGACATGGATGTGGAGTAATGGCCAAAGTTTATGCTCTATTTTTTACAAAAACAAAAAAACACCCACATGTATAGACAATATTTTAATTATTTAAAAGTAAATAGCTTGAAGTAGTATATTTTAAGATATGCTGGGAAAAGAAATTCTCCACAAACAGGCTTCCCTAAAGTTTCTTTTAGGAAGACCCAGTTTTGAATAACGTGGAAATATCAGGACAGAGTCAGAGAACTTAAAATCTGGTAAAGGTCAAGAATGATGTCTCAAGTTCTATTTGTTATTTCTTTTACTCCTCCTAATATTCCGGGAGGTAGGCAGTGCCTGTCATATCTCTATTTTACAGAGGAAAAATTAGTCTCAGCTGGTGAAAATTAAGGCTCAAGCTTAATCACCTAATTTTATAGGGAACTTCCTTTGATCTTCCGTTTCTCATTTATGAAATGGTGACAGTGATATTACCATCACAAAGTGTGTTATGGATTAAATAACATATCCCATGCAACTCTTCTCCCATCTCCTTCCTCCTGACACATTTCATTCAAAATGATTTCATTATGTGCCCACACTCCTACAGTGTTTGTTTTTTTAACTTGGTGGTTTTGCCTAAATTTGTTTGCAGCCTAGTAAATCAGTCACTAGTAAATCAATCACTTTTCACCAAGAAAATAACTATGACTCTCTTAAATATATATTATATATCTTATAAATCTCATAATATAAATGAGACTTAAAAATTACTCCCAATAAATAAAAGTGCTCAATTTCTCGAAACTCAGTACTGAGTGTAGAAATCTATGGCACTTGGGGCGCCTGGGTGCCTCAGTTGGTTAAGTAGCTGCCTTTGGCTCAGGTCATGATTTCGCAGTCCTGGGATGGAGCCCTGCTCAGCAGGGAGTCTGCTTCTCCCTCTCCCTCTGCCCCTCGCCCTGCTTGTGCGCTCCTGTGCACTCTCTCTCTCTCTTTCTCTCTCAAATAAATAAGTAAAATTTTAAAAAAGAGATGTTGGCACTCTACACAGCATATATCTTAAAGATGACCTTTTCTCTTTAAAGTCATACGAAGCACTAGATAGGACACCACAATTTGTCCTTAACAAATACGTTGTTCCTTTCCCATTTGCGAAAGGGTGAAAACTCGGGCAATACTTTTGGTCCCACCCAGGCACTCTAGACTCAGCCACAGTGAACTTCTGCTTCTCCTTCAGATATACCAAGTCAGAACTGTTTCCTTGCCTCTGCACACCCTGTTCCCTCTGCTTGGAATGCTCCACTCCGTTTTCTACCTAGCAATGCCCTCAGATGCCAGCTTAAATGTCACCCCTGCTATGAAGTCGGTCCTGACTTCTCTAAAATGTTGAGTCAAGAATAAT